CCCCCCCGCGCTGACCATCCCCGAACCCATCCTCACATAGCGGGCTCTGCCCTTTTCATTCATCCCCCCCCCCTCAAGACTGTTCACTGTTCTTTTCCACCTCCCTCAAGACTATCGTGGGTTCAGCCCCCTGGAACTCATTATGCCAAGTTCTGCTAGACAGACACAGACACACAGAGAGAGAGAGAGAGAGAGAGAGAGAGAGAGAGAGAGAGAGAGAGAGAGAGAGAGAGGAAAGAGAGAGAGAGAGGGAGAGAAATGCAAAACACCAGTTACTACCCGTAGTACTTGATGGGAGAACTACGGGCGTGAGCACACACACATCAAGGGAGGGGGACCACAAGGAGGAGGAGGAGGAGGAGGAGGAGGAGGAGGAGGAGCAGCGAAAGAGAGGGGAGTGTGAAGGAGACGAAGTCGATGAGTTTTTTTCTTACTTTTTTTGCCATGTTCTTATTTAGGAAGAGATCCCACTAGCAACGAAGATTGAATCGAGACCCTGAATCTGGATGGGGTTTTAGGCAGAGATACAGAAAAAAAAGCAGATGGATAGCCATATTCTGCACCTTTCCCGCAACCACGTCAAGATTCAGGCGTTTAATCCCCTATCCTATCCTCTTTGCAAAAGTGGGATCTGGCCCCCTTACTTTCCAATCCAATCTATTCTTTGAGGGCCCCTTATACAATCCAATGGCCAGCCAACTTTTGCATAATCCGCTCGTGTGGGCTCAATCTCAATCCATTCCCAAAAAAAAAAAAAAAAAAAAATCTCAATCCATCCGGCCCAGAGGAGGTATCGCGGACGTGAAAGGAGAAAAAAATATACACGGCACTGAATGCCATGGGAAAGCACCTCGTGACGCCATGCTTTCAGTCCTCCATACTCAGCTTCTGTGCACTTTCGCGTACTCTAGGCAATTCTTGGGCAACGGCCTTGAGATATCATCATTGAAGGTAACCGGCCCCAGGTACTTCGGAATTGTGTTATTCTGGGCATCTGACCGTATCTGGATGGATTCGAGCTTGTATTTTATTTTATTTTATTTTATTTTATTTTATTTTGTTTTTGGGAAAACGCTTGTAATTCAACAGTTCCTGCGTGCACCAACTGCGGTAGGCTCGTTGGTACTCTTAGCGATTCCAACGCTGCTGCCAGGTGGAAAAAAGAGGAGGCCAGAGTCCTTGTTAAAAAAAAAAAAAAAAAAAAAAAAAAAAAGAGGAGGAGAATATGGAGGACCGGCAAGCGTAGGGTTCCGGACTTACCGCAGGTGAGGACGCCATGATCACTCTGCTTAGGACATACTCGCACTTGGACTATTTCCACGTCCACGTGGATGTAGTTGCGGTCAGGTGCATCCAAGCGGGGTCAGAAAAGCGGTCATACGCACCCACGCAAGTCCTAGCAGTGTGAGTATTACGTCCGTAGATCGTGCTCTGCTGACCTCCGTCGATGTCCGTTGGTGGTTCCCGCAGCGTACAGGACACCCAGCTTTGCCCAGGCCGGCGAAACCATGCTGCTGGGCACGGACCGTGCCCGTCGTGAACAGGCCAGGCAAGGTCTGGGCGAACGGCTGGGTGGGCTCCGTTCACACCAGTGTCTGGGCCGACCCCCAAAATTTTGCACCCAGGAGGCTGCGCCTTACCTGCTGGTCGCCCTTTTTTTTTCCCCTTTGGAAAAAAGCGAGAAATCCACGTGGCTCAGTGGCTAGGGCACCCGTTGTCAATGCGCAATGTGGTATGAGGTGGCGGGTTCAAAACTCCATGCCTCTGTGCCGTGACACCCAACGCATGGCTGCTTGCATAGTGACACCCAACGCATGGCTGCTTGCATACCCCCTTGCGCTGACGCAGGGAAGTTATTACAGACACTGCCTGCACATCACCCAGGGGTCAGTCCATAGGTGTCGTATGCTGGTCTCGGCTTCGAGTTGGTTGCTTGCTGTTGTTGGCCTTGGTCGCCCTGATGATATCGCCCAACTTCGACATTTCACACATTGTGTGCATATCCTACAGTAGTGCATGTTGTAGAGCCCTCCAGTTTCATGCTGTAGGTAACAGGTTGGAGCCCGGCTCCAGACTTGGGGGGGGGGGGTCCTGGCATATCCCACGGGAGTGCATGTGGTAGAACCCTCCAGTTTCATGCTGTACCTCACAGGTTCGAGCCCGGCTCCAGACTTCGGGGGGATAGGCCTGCCTCTACCACATATTATAGACGCACACACACAAAACTTCCCCAGATACTGTATATGGGCACAACCACAGTACTCAGACTATCACACATACCGTTGTACCACGTTTGATGCGGGGACGCAGCCATTCGGGTTGCGTCTTATGAGGTGGGGAGGCCTGCCTCTACCACATATTACACACACACACACGAGAAACTCCCCCAGATACTGTATATGGTCACAACCACAGTACTCAGTCTATCACACATANTCTACCACATATTACACACACACACACGAGAAACTCCCCCAGATACTGTATATGGTCACAACCACAGTACTCAGTCTATCACACATACCGTACGGTACGGTTGTACCGCGTTTGATGCGGGGACGCAGCCATTCGGGTTGCGTCTTATGAAGTGGGGAGGCCTGCCTCTACCACATATTACACGCACACACACGAGAAACTCCCCCAGATACTGTACATGGGCACAACCACAGTACTCAGTCTATCACACATACCATACGGTACGGTTGTACCGCGTTTGATGCGGGGACGCAGCCATTCGGGTTGCATGCTTTATGTTCTAGACAGTAAGCTTGGCAAAGGTCTTATGAAGTGGGGGATGGGCAGCCTTCTGGATGGTAGTGTCTAAATCCAACACTCTCCCACACACAACCCACTCACACTCGCACTCACACCTGTGTTGGTTGAAGACCTTACTGACACTGACTGCGAGGATCCAGCTGAATATCTCAGTTGGTTGGCACCAAGACTGCCACAGGCGGCCATGGGGATTGAACCCACAACCTCCTGCATGCCACTTGTGTGCCTAACCAATTGAGCTAGACCGCTGGATGGGACCCAGATTCTTGGATCGCGGGAGGAAAAAAAGAAAAAAAAAAACACCGGAAAATCGAATAGCAAGCTACTGAGGGCTGTACCACCCCACACGCGGCCAGGAAAAAGAGCATTTCAAGCTCTAAAACTACTAGCAGTGTATCTCCCTATGTTCTAACAGAAGATTCATCCTCGTTTCGCTCATTTGGTCGGTAGTGGAGCAAGGCCCTCGATCTTCACAGCTCTTGTAGCAAAGGTAAGCACATTTTTCTTCTTTTTTTCCCCGGAAAGTCAGTACATTTTTTCTTTTCTTTTCTTAGTAAGCCCTGCCAACGAGGCAGGGCAGTCCGTTGTAGATTTCGTTACTTGGTCGGAGTAAACAGCAGAATGCTTCGATACTGTATTTCTGGGAAGATGCAGTAGAAGAGAAAAAAAAGAAAAGCAGAAACGACCCAGACCCAAGTCGCCCGCCCAGACTTATATCGCCCGCCCCCAGTTTGCAACGGGAACTATATCCCTCAAAAGGGAAACAATGGATGGCGCCCTATACTAAATTGCAACGACCTTGACAAGATAACCTGCTCTACAACCGGTCGTAGGGACGACTGCGACGAGACCCTATTTTCTGCTGTTAGAGACCCCAAACGAACCCGTCCAAGCGAAGCTGTGCTGCATGACCTTGCCGAAAATAGAAAGAGCGCAGCCTCCTGGCTGCGAACACATAGATTGAGGCACGCACACATGTACTGGTGGAGGTGATATGAGCACCTTGCAGATGCTCCATGGTGGGGAGCAGCATCTGCTACGAAATCGGGTCCACACACACTACGAACGTACACAGAGCCTGCGGGCACAGACCTGCGATACTGAACACACACACACACACACACACACACACACACACACACACACACACACACACACACACACACACACACACACACACACA